CCCGCCGGCAGCAGGTGAAGGCAGGAGGTAGTTTGCAGCCGCCGCCGGCAGATGGAGCGGGAGGGGTGCGGGCAGCGCGTGCCGCCGTGGGAGCCCGCTGGCCGCCTGCCCCACGCGTGGGGGTGGACCCCGGCCCCAGGCGCTTCCCCGCAGAGGGTCCCCCAGGCTGCCCGCAGGCTGCTCCTCCGGGCACGGCAAAAACAGGGCAACGGGAACTGCGCGGTTTAGCAGGCTAACTCGGTCTGCACAGGAAAGCTGATTTAACCCGGGTAAACTAGGTAGGATTCAAGGCAAGTTAAGTTTCAAGTGAGACTGTTACTCAATTAAAGAAAATACAACTATTAAACGAAAGTCCCTGCTTTCTCTCTCCCTCTTTTTTTCATCAAATCAATTTAAAGTCTTTTGCTAGGTTGAGCAATTAAAATTTCTTGCAATAAAACTGTCTGACCGCTGCCTGATTTTGCTTCAACATTAATGATGGCATACTCAACACTATCTGCACACTTTTAGGATACAAAGAATGTAAAATATGGAAGTCACCTCCTGGCGTCCATGGGTAGACAGGCAAAGCAGCTTCATCTTGCCCACCATGTGTGTCATGCAGAAGTAGGAAACTGTCCTCCAGAGAAGCGTTGAGTACTGACCCCAACCGGGATGGATAACAGCTTCCAGGCACCCCGTATCCCCTGGGGCCACCACTCCAGCTCAGAGAGGCAGCTCCTGGCTTCACAAATCTTGGGTAAATCTTGGGAGTGGAGTATGCCTAGGAGCGCGAGCAGGTTAGAAAAGCCAACAAAGAACTACTGCACTTGACTTTCTCAAGATGTTTTTAAAGGCTTCTTACGAAAGGGAGTGTATTTTTATTTGTTTACAATGAACAGTTTAGGGGTTTATTGTACTGTTGTCATGAACAGATGCAAGATGATGGTAATTACAGTGAATCAGCGTGAGGTCTCACACAAAGTGTAGTACGTGCATGGGGAATGGGAAGAGAAATAAGAAAAAGTGCAGTGAGCCAGAGTGTGGAAAACTGCTTTCATCTGAGCAATAGCTTCTGCTCACAGCATCTCATGGAAGTAAAACGGGTTACGATTGCATTCCTGCAAACAATGACAAGAAGCTTTAACATTCACTCAGACCAAGCAGCAGTGTGAATCCCTCTCCGTATTCATGCAAAATGCATGCGGAAGATGTGTGCAGGGGAAACCCCAAAGTGGGATCAAAAAGATATGCTCAGGGGAAATTATTGCTCTATTCACCAAACAACTCTGACTATGATGGCACATGAGAGGACAGATACTGTCAAGAGCTCCATTTACTGAGCGGGGATGAAGTGAGGGGGCACGGGAGGCCAGAGCAGATGAAAAATTTACATCTGGGAATGGAGCTAAGATTGCAGGGCAGAGGACGTGTTAGGCAGAGAAAATCAGGAATAGTGAAAATTTTATTTTAAAATAGTAAGAAAACAAAGATATAACTGATAAAATAAAGCTTCAGTGTGAGAGGCAAACAAGTAGAGGGAAGTTTTAACCTCTGTACCAATGCAACAATCATCCTAAAGAAAATAGGGAAATACAATAGCAGCATTACCTGTTACAGCCCATATTCCAGATGTGCCAAGTTTCAGAGTTATGTCAGAGCTCGGATACTATGTGACATTCCAGATGCCAGTTCAATGATATAATAAATCTCCCTTGGCTCCAGTTTCTGTGATCCTCATCCTGGTCACTGCAGGGTGAAAGAAGATATCAACGTGGGGAAGGTAACGCAGCAGCAGTTACCCACACAGAGGAAAGGCTGGGGAATAAATGATATAATTTTGCTTAAAGAAGGGTCTCTTTCTCAGAAAAGGTGCTACCAGTCGTTTGCATGAAATATGAGACAGAGCCACAGTAATATGGCTTTCCAGGATTCACTTACTGAAAGGGTCAGCAGAGAACTTTGTCACATGAAGACCTCTCATGTCTCCAGGAAGGAAGAGTCTCAAGTTAACCTGAGGTTTTGGAGATCTGGGTTCAAGCTATTTCCTTTACCAGACTCCTTTTGTGGCCATAGCTTTGTCACTTAGCTTACATTTCCAAGAAGTGCCTGAAGCTACATGTAACTGTCTGTAAAGATCTCTTACTGTATTGCTAGAAGAAGACAAGAGCCCAGATATCTGCTAGGTATCTGTCTTTAATGCCAGGTGCAAAAACATCTTTACAAACCAGACCTTTCACCCAAGATTTCTCACTTGTTTTCATCATTTCTCATAAATCCCAAGAGATTTATACTGTTGCAGAAAATGGAGCAAGTGTTACACCCTCTTGTTCATATATGCCTACTGAATGGAGTTTGAAGGGTTTTTTTTCGCCAGGAAATACCCTACTGTGTTGAGCAGGCACAAACCTGACCAGCACATGTATGGATGTTTGGCACCAGTGTTTCAAAGATCTTAAAGGATGTGGGGCTATGGACGAAAGTCTCCGTTTGTTGCGGGGGTGTAGGAACCCTGCGGAGAAGAGGTGGGGTTAGGATTGCATTGACCAAGACTGCTTTGAACTGACCCTGCTCTGAGAGCTTTGTCCAGAGCTACAGAATTTCTGTGTGAAAAAAACCAATGACTTTTTAAAAAGTAATTTGCCTTTAGGCTTGCGAAGAAGAACGTCCAGACATACGGCGAAACAGCTGTCTCAGCATCAACCACCCCCACAGAGTATTATTCTGGTATCTAACTATGGTGGTTTCAAGAGTAGCTACTCATTTTAGGCTGAATGTTCAATCCCCCTTCGTACTATGGGCTGGGGGGTTCAGCTCGGACTGGGAGCGGTGGTTCTCCTTGACCTCCTAGACACAGAGAAGCTGCACTGCTCCTGAAACTGTCCCTGTTCCCCTGATAAAGAGCAGAGGCCACTGCTTCCCAGGGCCGACACTCCTGGCATTATCACCACACTAAAATCACTAAGAAAAACAACAGGCTGGAGCAGAGGGACGGGTCCGTGCTACACAAACACGGCTTCCAAAGAAGGAACAAAGGGGTACACAGGGTCCTAAATGCCAAAGATGGGCTTTGCCTCCTGCAGTTATTTTTTCCCTTTTGTTTCTGACTGTAGGAATACATTGTTCACTTCATTGTGAAGAGTTCCAGGCAGACATGACGAAAGGGACAAAACAGCTCAAGAAAAGAGACGTCCCGTGCAGCATTCATGAAATGTGCTGTTTGGAAACAAGGAACGAGCAAACAGGAAAGCGCTTTAACCATTGAGAAGACGGGATCCCAGCATGTTCTTGGCACCGGCAGGAACAATGGGGTGATGTCACGAGCCAGAATTCCCCACAGTGGATGGAAGCCCAGCAAATAATCATAATTCTTGTCCTGGGACATTAGCAAAATTTTTCCACAGTTGGTCATACCCCACTGAGTCCCTGTTAGGAAGTATAGGAAAGAGGCATTGTCAAGTGAAGCTTCCTTTGGGACATTCGTCGGCCCCCCTCCCTACCCCCGGATCAATGCATCAGTTGTTATAAATCACTGCTTTCTGCTGACTACGAGGAATTTCAGTGGTGGTGCCGGGAGGCTGAGCACAGGGCTGCCTGATGAATATATTTCACACAGTGAAGAAGGGTGCACACGAGGGTCTGGATACTTGTAAGGGCAAAGGGGCAGAAGTCTCATTAGCTATCCAGAGCTTTGAGCCTACACAGCATCAGTATGGAGCATTGTCCTTACCGTTTCAAAGGTGCTGAGAATGGCAAGGAGCTCAGGAGACACAGTCTTGCACTAACAGTGCTGTTTGGAGAATTTCAACCAAGTTTAAGGCTCCTAAATGACATGAGCAACATGAGGGCATCCTCCAGATCCCAGACTCTCTTTCTTATTTTGGCTTAAAGTCAGCTCCGTGGAGAGTGACCTGAAGTTCATTTGCAGCATCCAGGCATTTTCTGAAGCAGTTCTTGAATTCTTCTTTAGCTCCGTTCTTTTGACAGG